GAAAGAGTTCCTGGACGGGCACAATGCTGCTCGGAAAGACGTCGGTGTTCGCCACATGAACTGGGACAATGTGTTGGCGGACTTGGCATTGAATTACTCTCAAGGACAGATCAACAATTGCATAGAACTAAACCTTGCAGTGGTCCCTTCGGGTCGGAATCTTGCTTGGGGCGACAAAAACGGTCTTTCCGCAACTGAAACTGTCCGGCTTTGGGTGGCTCAGAAGAAGTATTACAGCTTGGAATCCGGTGTTTGTGCTCAAGACCAGATATGAGGACGTTATACTCAAGTAACTTGGATCAATTCGACTCGACTCGGATGTGCTGAAGTTAGATGCAATAACAGTAGTGGAACTTTGATTGCTTGTTATTATTACCCTGCTGGTAATATTCCTGGAAAGCGTCCAACTGATGGAATTCAATCCCTTGTTCAATCACATGATGTTGCTCCCATGAGTCCCACATCCTCATCACCTTTTACTCAGTTAACTTGGGTTCATTCGACTCAATGGAAAAGCAAATCCATTGCATCATTAGTCAATGGAACTCCTACTCGTTTACGAGTTCATGCCGAACGGAAGCTTAGACACACATCTTTTCAGAGGCAAAACCTCATTGACATGGGAAACCAGATACAAAATCGTGCAAGACTTGGCATCAGCATTGCTATACCTGCATAAAGGAGATAATTGTGTACTCCATAGGGATATCAAAACCAACAACATCACGTTGGATTCAAGCTTCAATGCTAAACTCGGAGACTTCGGATTAGCTCGTCTAGTGGATCATTAGGAAGGGCTAAAAAACACTCTTTTAGCCGGCACCATGGGTACATCGCTCCGGAGTGCCTGTCGTCGGGAAAGGCCAGTAAGAAATCCGATGTCTACAGTTTCGGAGTAGTGGCATTAGAGATTACTTGTGGTAGAAGATCAATTGAACCTAAATTTCAAGACTTTGAGGCTGTGTTAGTGCCTTGGGTGTGGGAATCATATGGAAAAGGAAACGTTCTCGATGTGGCTGACCACAAAATGGAAATGGGGTTCGACCCTAAACAGATGGAATGTTCGGTGATAGTTGGGCTGTGGTGTGCCCATCCGAACCAAGATCAAGACCATCGATCAGGCAAGTCATTCAAGCCAAAATTATTTGTGTTTGAATTATTTTAAATGTGAATTAATTTTGAGTTCGAATCAAATCAAATTTAAATTGTATAAGTTAATTTATGACTTTTGTCTCATTAAATTTATATTATTTTTATAATTTCTTAATTGAATTGACATCCGATTGATTCTGAGATCAACTTATAAGGAGCATTAATAAAAATAGTACAATTTTTTCATTGCAGATAGTATATAGTTAAGTGTTCTTTAATATACAACTTATTGCAAGGTTAAAGTTTGAGTATATATTTATTATTGGCATAATATCAAAATTAGCCTCCAAAGTTTATCAAAATGTTCATTTTACCCCCAACATTTCATTTTAGGACAAAAAAACCCAACATTTGATAAAATAACCACTTTGTCCCTTACTTTTTATTCTTGGACGTTTTAGCCCTAAACATTTCACTTTAAGTTAAAAAGGCGTTTATTTTAGAGCGTTAATTGTGTGTTAACTAATGGTTTTCGTCTATAGAGGTAACTTTTTGCACTAAAGTGAAACATTGGGGGCTAAAATGTTCCAAAAAAAAGAATATGGGTCAAAATGACTAGTTTAGTAAATGTTGGGGGCTATTTTTGGCATTAAACCTTTTTATTTCAAAAAAAGTTTGATATAAATAGATAAACTATCTTTCTAGTCATCAAACTTTAGTTTCAATATTAAGTTTGTTATAAAATTTTAAAAAGTTTCAATTTTAAAACTAAACTTTTGATATTGATAATTTTTATCATTGGGCCATCAAATTATTAATAGATGCATGACGAGGTAGTTTAGGGTTAATGTGGAAATTAAAAATAACATTTTATTTAATCTCATCATATTTATTTTGGACGGACACCTAAAATGATCATTCTCAAATATCATTCAGAACCACTTTACATATCGATAAATTTGTACTATTATTATTTCTTACTGATTTGTCGATTTAATTTATTTTTCAAAATCTCTTTAAAATTCACAAAATTAAACAAAAAAATTACCTTTTATAAGAAAAAATAATTCGAGAAAAGAGAGATAAAGTTGAAAATGGGAACCACATTTGCTTGGAAGTATTAACCTCGAGCAGTCCACGCCCACAACAGATAAAAACAAAGTTTATTTCTCTCTTTCCCCACTACTATCTTATCTTTGTCCCCGTAGGCAAAGTAAGTTACCTTTGTCTTCTTATGTCTGTCCAATTTAGGGTTTCTTTTTTAAAATCTAGCCTTTCTTCCTTTACCTATGAATGGAGGGTAGAAGCTTCATGGACATGCATTTAGCCAAATTCAATCCATTTTATACCTAAACCCCACATTTAATATCAATTAGGTTGTCATTTTCAAGTATTGATTTCTTGTTTTTTATGCAACAAATATCTTTTCTAATTGTAATAGAAAAATGATTACATGCATCAAGTTGGTAGATATTATTAAGGATTTGAAATTCTAAATAATCAACAACACGTTGGTTTAGTAGGATAAATATTAGATTTTTTAAGATTAAAAGTTCAAACTTTAGTGTTTACGAATGAAGTTAATTGGATTAATAGAGTTGTCCTCAAAATAGGCCTCTACAAAAGTCGATCGGGTTTAGTTGGTCAATAGCTCATATACTAGTAAATAATTCAAAAAAATAATAAATAAAAATTTTGAATTTTTGGGAAATTCATAAAATCAAATTTGGCAAAGGTTGATTTAATTATGAAGTGAGCAAAGCCGATTCGAATAAACTTTGAGTAAGACTCAAAATAAAATCAAGTTCAAATCGAGTTGTATTTTGCAACTCGAATAACTCAAAATTTTTAGTAATTAGTCGATTGATTTTTAAGTTTGAATCGAGTCTTTCATCTTTGTATGATATATGTATATCACATATGCAAAAATATGAAGAAATGTATTTGTATTGTATATATGGTTATAGAAAGTCATTTAAATTGGAATCAAATAATATTATAAATATTTACAATTAAATTTAAACAGAAGCTTAAAAAATCAACTACAAATTGTAAAGTAGGACTCGTCAACTCAAATAACTCAAAAGTTTTTAACTCGACTCGACTTGATCGAATGCTCATCCCTAAATTTAATTAATTAGAAGAATGCTTTCCACTTTAAGCAAAACAATCTGAGAAATATACGACTAGGGTTTTTGGTTAATTATTTCATATATTTGAGGTGAAAACTAATTCGATTATATCATATTTTAATTTTTTTAAAACATCCATGATAATTTGATTTAGTTTGATTTTCAATTTTTATATTGATTTTTAGACTTGATTTTAATAAATTATATATTTTTATGGTTGTTTACATTATTTGGTATAGTTTTAAAGTTTTTTTTCCATAAATATATTAAAAAAATCTTTCTAGTAAATAAAAATGATTAATAATTTTTATATATTTTTTAAGTTATTTTCACTATTCAAAATATAAAATATTTATTTTATAATTATAAAAAAAAGAAAAAATAAAATTCAATTTGATTCATGTGATCACAATTTTTAAGCTTACTAACTATCATGGGAGAAACAAGGATGTAGGAGGGGCCAAGTTGTTTATTTATTTTTACAACTAACAGGGTTCTAAAAGTTAATTAAATCATAAAATAGGGTTGTATTTTAATTTTACTAATTTTAAAATTAAAATATCATAAAAATAATTAAATTGAAAAAAATTGAAAACCAAAACTTAAATTTATTAAATTTAAAACCGATAGGGATCTTAAAAATAATTAAACCATAAGCTTCTTATAAGAATCACGACTTAATTTCAATTATTACAAATCTTCGTACTATATTCACCGGTGAATATAGGGTTGTGTTTGAGATCTGGCTAGGTTTCTGGGTTTTTAGGGTTTTGTGGGTTCGCTTTTGTGGCTGTGGTTTGCTTCTTTTGTTTCTTTAGCTTTGTTCTTTTCTTAGGGGATGAGTTTCATGAATTGACGCTCTTAATTTAGGGCAAAGGATGATCAGTCGTTGAAGTCCTTCCCTCCGATTCTTGTTGATGGTGCGATGAAGATTAAGCCTCCTTTGGAGGATTTTGATGAGGGGCTTAAGGTGTGGCAGAACTTTTTGGTTGCCCAATTTATCGATGCTCCACCGAATCTCTCTTCTCTGCAGAGTCTGATCAAGCAAATTTGGGGTCGATGTGGAGAGATTGTGGTGAACCCGGCGGGGGATAATATTTTTCTTTTGCAATTTGTGAGTGAGGACTCTTGCAATTAGGTATTGGATAATCGCCCTTGACATATCCTAAATAAACCCCTTATTCTACGAAATGGGCTCCCAATCTCAAGTCGTTAAAGTTCAACTTGGATAGGTTACCTACTTGGGCGCATTTGTACGGAGTGCCTCTGGAGTTGTTCATGAATTTGGGGCTTTGCTACATTTTCAGTGTCTTTAGGACTACTTTGTACATGGACAGTGTCACGGATGGGAGGCGAGAGTGTCCTATGCGATGGTGTGCATGGAGGTTGTTGCGGGGTCTAAATTTCCTAAGTCTATTGATGTTAAGTTGCGAGATGGTTCTTTTGCATCCATCGAAGTGGAGGTACCTTGGTTGCCTTTTAGCTGCTTGCATTGTTGTGTCTTTGGCCATAATGATAGGTATTTCTCTCATAAGAAGCAAGGTTCTCGGGTTTGGGTTTAGAAGAAACAAGAGGCTGCCGCTGTTGAAGTTGATAAGGGGAAACAAGTGGCTGTTGATTTTGTGTCCTGCTCTGGAGTTGGCGAATCGAGTGGACTAGCTGCTTCGGGCTTAATCGAGATGGTGGTTGGTTCGAGTTATATGTTAAATATATATATATATATATATATATATATATATATTATCATGAAATATTTGTTAAATAATAGTTAAAATTAAAAAGGAGAAAGTAAGTGGAGGTTTTATTATTAAGAAACCATGTCACCAAAGTTGGTCTCTCTCTTGAGAGAATATTGATCATGAACTACATTGCTAGAATTGATGAACTGATGGTGGTGGTGATTGCGGAGAAGACACTGTTTATCGTCGTCCTCCTCCGACAATTGACCGACGGTGCCGCCGCCATGGGCAGCAGTTGGAACCGGTAGCTGTTGAACCATCGGGACGTCATCGACCCGTTGCTGCATCTGGATACAAAGTATCTCCGCTTGAGCCACGGCCAGCTGCATTTGGAGCTCCGACACCTGGTTCTGCAAAAACGATATGGCCCCTACACACCCGTAAACCGGATCTCTCACCCTCGCGTTCGCCTCGTACACCAAGCTGCTCACCGCGTCCGCCCTTTGTTGCACCGGCACCTCCTGAAAATATCAACTTATCGTATAATTTAAAATATTTTCTATAGATAATCTAATCACGAAATTTCTAATATAACTTGTTGAGTTCGTACATGAAGCATTTTGCTGACATTGCTGGCACCGAAAACCTTGTGAACGATGGCGAACTTGTGGGGGTCGTCGGAAGGGAAGTAAGGGGCGAAGATGCAGTCCTTGGCACACCGGCGACGAAGCAACTTGCAGGAAGCGCATGGTGAATTTCCCCCCATCCTTGGGAACTCAAAGACTGGAACTTTTTTGATGGTTTTGTGAAGAAAGTACAAGAGAAAAAGAAATTAAGCAACTTAGAGATGATAGCTAACAAAGAGTGTGTGAACAAAGGCACAGACTTGCAGTAATTTAGAGGTTTATGCATATTTATAATAGACAAAGAATATGTGTGCCCCAATTGTTCCATTGATCAATTATGATAAGATTGAAAGTTATCTTTGAATATATACGATATTATAGTTACTCGATATTATAGCAACTGTTGACTCACAATTGCTCAATATTTTGTTGAGTTCATATAGGTCCAAAATAGAATCATCGGGTGAATAAAAACCATGATTTCTTAAGAAGAAAAAAATGAAATAAAGAACTTCCCAATCCACTTCAAGAAAAGGACAAGGAAAGTTTGAGCACTGAGAGGCATACTTAGAACCCCCAAGATAATTAAATATCCTAAACCCTTGATTAAATTTTAATTAATTTATTCAAGAGACGAATTATTAATATAATTCGACTTCTATTAAGTTAGTTTTTAATAAATAGTTTTAAAATTAAATTAATCTTTATTTATTTGAATTTAAATATATTAAAGTATTTTATAAAAAAATATAATTAATATCAATTGGAAATTTAATATAAAAAGCACAACGGTATCGGTTGACCGCCGCCTAAGCGTTCGTGTGTGATAGTTGGCCGCCGATGTATTGCCAACCACGTCCTTGGTCGCGCTATGTGTTGCCAACCACTTCCTTCTTGTTTTTATTTTCTTTTTCCTCCTTTTTTTATTATAATTATTAGTATATTAACATGTATTAATGTTTAATTTCTTTTTAATTTTATACACTCACATAACCGGGCTGAAAGTATAATTATAAAAAATAATTGAAATAAAATTTTAATTAATCTTATATCTGGCCTTCAAACAATTTTTCTCTTTTTTTTAAAAGAAAAAAGCTATACACTGAAAATATATTTTAACACACTTAAATTTCTATCCCATTAAAACATTAAAAAGTAGATAAAATAACCTCAGTGACCGAAAATGCCTTATAATATACGATTTTAACCAACTTTTTTTGAATTTGCGAAAATGACCAACAAATTCGCAACGCGAACTCCTATTTCGCAACTTAGTTTCCAAATTCGCAACGCAAAAGTCAAATTCGCAACACATAAGTCAAATTCGCAACACTGAATTTCAAATTTGCAACTCGATTTTCGAATTCGCAACCACGCATTTAATTTCGCAACAGGATTTAATTTCGCAACACAAATGTTTTGGGTATATAACTACGCAGCAGCAACAACTCATAACCTAAATCCCTAAATCGCAACTCATTCCATCTCCATCTATCACTCTCTCAGGCGACATCCGTTCCTATATCCAACGACATCCTTCCCCATCTCTAATTTTTTTTTTTACATAATTTTATTTCTATACAATTTTTCAATGATTTTTCTCCCAAATTATCAACTATCAACTTAATAAAGGTATGTTTTTCTCTAAGTTAGTGTTGATATCTAGTTTATAGCTAGTTTGTTTAGTAAATTAATTTACAATTTGTAGAATGAAATAATCTAATGTTGATCATGTTTGGATAGATTTGTGTTTTGGAGGGTCATGGGAGAATGTTCATGGTGTTTTACAATATGTGCCTTTACCCATGAATCTTCAACTAAAACTGTCATTAAAAAAGTTAACTTATGAAACTCTAATGTTACATGTTGCAATGAAATTGAATTTAGAGCCTCTAAGTGGATTTAGGCTATCTTATCAGAAAAAGGTAAAGTTTATTTGTTAACCGACAATGAAGATGTTGAACGATTCATTGCTTACATTAGTGTTTCACAAGATGATGTTACATTATATGTTGTTGAACCTAGAAGTAGTGAAGTTGGGTCAGTAGCGGGTAGTAATCAACTCAGTTCTTCAACCCAGTTTATAGTGCTCACAATGTACAACGTTGTTATCAACCTCAAAATTTAATGGTTCCACCACAATTTCATCACCAAGAAAATTTTGTTTCACCACATTTCCAATACCAAACACAATCTCAAAACCCACAACATTTTCCTAATCCAAATCCCAATCAACTTTCAGCACCAAATTCCGGTTTTCGTATTGACCAGTTAGACGATTATGAGCCAACAGAAAAAATTGTGAGTACTAGTCAATATTCGAAATTTGATCTTGGTCAATACCTGGACTTTGATCTTAGTCAATACTCAGATTTTGATGATGTTTCAGAAGAAGAAACAGAATTTTGATAATGATTTTGATATTGGCCAATACCCGAATTTTGATGATGAAACAACCGCTGCCGAGGAAGATGTTGTTGATGATAATGAGGAGGAAGTTACGACTGTGAATGAACATATTGAACATCCATTCTGTAATTCATATAACCCTGAAGAAGAAGTCCCCAAAGAAAAGAAAAAGAAGAAAATGCCACGGGAGTATAACTGGAATATGCCAGAATTACTTCAGATACCGGAAGAAGAGTTGGTAAAGATAGCAGTTGATTGTTACACAAAAGTTATTCGTATCAAGAAAGATGATTGTTTTGATACAAATGAAGACTTGAAGATAGCTTTGTATACGAAATGCGTGGAAGATGGCTATCAACTAAAAGTTAACAAATCAAGCAAAGATCGTTTCGAAACAAGGTGTATGATTGACAAAAATTGTACGTGGCGTATGATTGCAAAGAGGATAAAATATTGTGAAATGTTTTAAGTTAGGACTTTTATTGATAAACATACATGTTCAAGAACCCAAGTTTTTCCTTACCATAGACAAGCAAACAAAAAGGTGTTGGGTGGTTTTCTGGCTGAGTTAATGTTTATGAATGGCAGAGTATATCGGGGACATGAAATTATGACTGACATGAATGCTCGGTTCAAGATTAGTATCTCATATTCTCAAGCTTTGAGAGCCAAATGTTATGCCTTGGAATTATTGAGGGGGTCTCCAGAAGCATCGTTTGCCCAACTGATGGCTTATTGTCACAATTTAAAGTTGAAAAATCCTGGGTCGGTAACTCATATCAAAACAGATAGAGATGGACACTTTGAGTTACTGTTTATCGCCATTGGTGCTGCGGTTAGTAAATCAATATAATTTTGTTGACCCATTTTTGTTAGTTATATGTATTTCACATTTAAATGATTATATTTCTTGTGTATATTATTTTGTAGATTCGTTAGTTTATTACTTGCATACGCCCAGTTATTATAGTTGACGGAGCACATTTGAAAGGTCGATACCTTGGGGTAAACTTATTAGCAGTAGCCATGGATGCTAACAATGGGATACTGCCAATAGCTTACGGGGTTGGCAAATCTGAAACCTCTGATTCATGGACATGGTTTATGGGGCATCTTAGGGATTACATAGGTCCTATTAGCAATCTAACAATCATATCCGATAGGTCAAACTCAATTGAAAACGCTGTTAGAAGGTGTTTCTCAGATGCTTTTCATGGACTTTATGGTGTTCATTTGTACAGAAATCTAAAATCAAGGTTTGCTGGTATAAAAAATCACAAATGGATATACTGGAAGGCTGTAAAAGCTTATCGGGAAGTGGATTTTAATAAGCATATAAATTGTTTAAGACGTGTTTTGCCTCAATGTGCTCAAAAACTATAAGATGTCGGGTTTGAAAGATGGTCAAGAGTATATCAACTTGGAGAAAGATATGGTTTCATGACGTCTAATAGTGCAGAATCAATCAACGCTCTAAGTCGTCATTCTCGAAAATTACTCATTACTATGTTAATAGAGTTTTTCGAGCCTCTATTCAACAGTAGTACTACAAGAAAATAAACCATGCATGTATTATTTCTTTAAATTCGTAACTTATCATATATTTTACTAAGTATTATTTATTTAAATTTACAGGAACATTGGAACGTCGTGTTACACCATGGACTGAAAAAAAGATCACTAAACGTGTTGTGAAGTCAACGCCATGGAGAGTTGAACCATTTTCAAATACTTAGTTTGAATTATTGGATAATAACTTAAATGTGCTTGTCGATCTAAATGCAAAAACGTGTAGTTGTATGAAATGGCAAACATCTGGTTATCCATGTGGCCATGTTATAAAAGTTGCTCTTCATCTAAACCAAGATGATTCAAGTGCATACGCTATGGATTGCTACACTACAGAAGTATATCGACAGACTTATGCCGAGATTGTCTACCCTATTCTACATCCTTCTAAGTGGGACATATCATATGACTTACAAATAATTTTGCCACCAGTCATGGACAGCAGGCTACCTGGCTGACCAAAAAATCATGATCGTAGACCGTCTAAGGGTGAAGAGAAGAGGATATCGACATGTAGTCGATGCAAGGAAAGTGATCATACAAGGTTGACATGTGGATCACCAGTGCCATCACAATCATCTTTTCCTCTACCAAAATATGGATCCCCATCAAAATCCAAAACTCATATAGTGCCAAGAAAAAGGAAATCAAAATCGCAATCAAAATCAAAATCCCAATCACAACCGGCTTCACCTTTTGTGACTTATTAACTTAGGTGATTTTTAAATGCAAACGTTGTATTATGTGTATTTTATGTGTGAATGCATACATTTTCAGTTAGACATTCATTAGTAACTTGAGTTTGAACATTGCTATGATCTGTTCAGTTGTTATCACTTATCATATTGTTGTCTGTTATCTTTTTGAAGGTATTTTAATTGAATTCGCATCGCGAAAGTCAAATTCACGTTGCGATTTTTTATTGCGAAAGTTAAATTCGCAACGCGAAAATCAAAATCGCAACTCGAATTTAACTTTAACGTTGCGAATTTGACTATCGCAACGAAAAAATCGCAACGCGAATTTTACTTTCGTGTTGCGAAAGTGTACCTTCAACAGTCTTTTTTGCCTTCAACATAATGCAGAATGAATTTAAACAAATCAACTTTTACAAATCAATGAAACAAGTAAAAATTAATTCTTATTTACACATCAATTAAACAAATCAACAAGCAAAAAATAATTCTTATTTCCTCAACAAATCAACTTTTACAAAGAGAACAAATCAATGTAAAATTCAATTAAACAAGGAAAAAAAGTGTACCCCAGA